AATTGCGTTGGTTATAGTCTTCTGTCACATGTAATGTAATAGATTAGGGGTGTGTTTATTTACACTACAGTAAATTTAAATTTAATTTTTTACTATAATATTTTTATCTCATGCACAACCTAAGTCAAATCTAGTGCAGCTTTGGGCAACTATACAATCGGTGGGAAGTTATAATATTCTGAGGAGGGAATAATGTCTCTGTCTGCCTTCAATCTCATTTTATGCGTATATTCAGACTAGCAAATTATCAATATATAAATATGTATATATATTCATACTAGCACGTAGGCTTAGACTATATAGCTTGCACATCCTATTTTTAGGGGTTCTGCTCTAAATTATTAGGACCTACCCTTATATAATTTATATTTTTTTTTCTCCACTTTTCTTCTTGTCTTTTTCACGGAGTTTATAAGATACACCTTACTCAATTACTTCGTTGCCAAAAGTCAAAACTCAAATGGAAAAGTGAAAACTTCTCCCTTTTTTTTTATCTATTTTTTATTGTCGATCGAAACATTTTTTCATTCCATAGATTTAGGTTTTAATCTATTTAGGAGAAATTATAAACGTGACCGAATAGTTTATATGAATTTTATGTTCCACAAAGAACGAGAAGTTAAGAGTTTATCACATCAATTTGGTATTAAGATCTTGTTAATATCTTTGTTTATAATCTTTTTCTTGTAAAAAATCTTGGTGTACAACCTCATATAGTGTCAAATGTATCTGAATCTTTCATAATCACAAAGAAGCCATATTGAATTGCAAAAATGATGTTAGACTGTTTATATTTACTCATGCATGCATTATATTTCTTGTCCCCCTCTTTTTTGTTATTTTTTATATAAAAAATATATATTCCAAATAAAGCAATACAAATGGGAGTAATCTTGACAAATACTCTTTAAAATGCATGAATCATGATTTTTACACTTTACTCTTAATTCATAACATTTTTAGTCAAATAACTACACTAACAAAAGGGCATTTATTAAGAGTAAGAGGTAAAAGTCTAGATTCATACACTTTTAAATATAAATTCTGTAATTTTCTCATACAAATGCCCATTTTAACTCACACATCCTCAAACTATAGGAGAGCATGACCCTATTAAAAACTTAGTTCCATAAATAACTCGAATGCAAAGCTTATGGAAAGAAACATGTATCGAATTTCAAAGTATGATGCTCAAAAAAGTAAGCCAAAGATCGACTATGTACATGATTGTTTAATGAATTCTTAGCTTTAAAGAGAAAAGTATAGGTCTCGTTTATTTTACCGATTTGAGTTTTCAATTCTAAATTTCTATAGTTAAAAACTCTCAAAAAATATCACATTCAATTTTTTCTGTCACAGTTAAAAGCTTTAAAATAATGTAACATTTCAGCTTGAATTGAAAACTCAAATCCGCAAAATAAACGAGGCCATAGAAAACCTAAATACATGTAGAAAGGATCTAAATTAAAAATAAACCACCATGGTATATTTCTAACACTAGTTAATAACTTGATTGGAAATCCTAAACCTTGCACTCATAAGTGAAAATCGCCCACTCCAAGAGGAGGGAGTGGGCTTGCGCATTCCTATAAGAAATAGGCCACGTTGTCACCTATTTAGTACTAAGTATATTTTTTTTCCAATTATAATTCATCTTTTCGTTAACCAAAAACTATTTTATATTCAGAATAGATTTATGATTTTTTAAATTGTTAAGATGAATAGTTTTCCACTAATAAATATATTATTATTTAAATTAAAAATAAGTAATAAAATTAAGGTGTTAAATAATAAATATATAAAGCGATAAAAAAAGTGGTAAAGTGCCTTTAATGTTTTTGAAATAATTTGTCAAAATTAAAAATTAAAAAAATAATGTACAAATCCTATTTTTTTTGGGAGAATGTGTCAATTACTATTGTAAAAGTATATAGTCTAGTTAATAAATCAAATCTCAGCCGTTATTACTTCTTGGGATTTGGGGTACATGATTCTAATTTCTATTAGACCCACCTACTCATAGATGGAAGTGAACATCCTAAACAGAAAAAAAAGGAATGGTTTTTTTCTCATTCCCTTCAAAAATAAAAAATAAAAAAAAGTTATTGGCTAAGCTGGTAGACATTAATACGCTGGTCCCTATATTGTCAAAATGAAAAGCAATTTAAAAAGGCAAAAAAAAAAAAAAAAAAAAAAACACAAGAGAGAGACTAATAATAGGAGCAGTAATATGTTTGGTCCCAAAAGCAGTTGGACAGCATTGGGGTGTCACCTTCACTTAACAGTAATGGGCTGGATAGCATGTGAAAGGTAAAGAGAATAGTACGCAGTTGGCCAGATTAGGTTGTACTACTCTGGCATTGACTTTACTGGGCCTAGTTTGTCATCTTCTATAGGCCCATTTAACATAGCCCAAGACTAAACTGTTAATTTATTTACTTTCCAACTAAAATTTTGCCATTTTTACCATCGTCCTATGTGTTTTTCAGACTAAAAAGGTGTAGTTATGGGTCATAACTAACTTTTATATGCAAACAAATGAAAGAAGCCATACTATTTCCATACCCTATTGTCTTTTTTTTTATTTTTTTATTTTTTATTTTTTTGCTACGAACCAGCTACAAGACCATGGTGTATTTATAAGTCATAATTTCCCGTCGGCAGTGATAGCCAAAAACTTAAAAAAAAAAAAAGAAAAAGAAAAAAAGAAAAAAATTTATAACTAACACTTCCATTTGGTTTCAACTTTTAGTTTGAAAAACATACCCTTTTGTCGTGCTTTTCTCTCTCCATTTTGAAAAAACCAAACACTTTTAAAAAAAAAATTTTGGTTTTTAATAAATAAATGAATAAATTCTAAAGTTTTTCATCAGATCATTAAAGTCAACTATCCGCCTGTTTCTCTCCCTCTCCAACATAACCAAAAATGCGCCTTGAGTTTTTTTTTCTTTTTTTTTTTTTAAATAAAAAATAAAAATGCGCCTCATGTATTTACTTCAGACATTCACCAAGATTCAAGAGAGGGGAAAAAAGCATGCTTAGACACTTTCATCCCTATATAGATGACTTTGAGCGATGAGAATAATTACTATCAGAGAATCTAAATAGATGAACTCGCTATATTCATTTTTTTTTTTTTTAATGTTGCTGCGTTTTTTATTTTCAAGAAAATCAATTATTTGGTAAAGAAATTGCAAAACCTCAAAACTATGTATGATTTACAAGTGTAGTGTTGTTAGTATGATTTACAAGTGTTAGTGTACTTCAACATAAAAAGATCTCGAGGCTTTTGAGTAAAGAGGTGAATTGGAAAGAATTGCAACATCTGAAACGACGGCGTTTCAATTAAGAAGAAACATCAAAGCTTATTTGAAAAAAAAAAAAAAAAAAGAGTACAATATGGCGTCGTAATGATAAAAGAAAGAAAAAAAAAACAATAAAAGGCCCGATAAGAAATTTTAAAGCAAAAAATCAAAATAGAAGTTTTAGTGAATTGATTATTGAACTAAATTAGAATCGATGAAGATCTAACCAGATATATTGATTTGAGAAGCAGCTTGTGTTTATAAATAGAAAGAAAGTCGAAGAAAATAAGGATTTTTTTTCATTTTCTAGATACAGAAACTTTGTCATTTGAATCTAAGAGAGCATATCTGAAATCAATTGTAACTTCTCTAGAAAACTTTGAATGAGTTTGAAATTGGAAATTAAGTCCTTGTATTTCGTTCGAGGCTTGGATAAGAAATCACTATAACAAAAGTTTATTTATAATTAATAAAAACTAGAGATTTTGGGTGGTGAACCTTACGAGGATGTGGTGCACATATTTAATGTGATTAATCGAGGTGTAACTCGAGTTGATCTAAACATCCATTGGCTAACAAAAAAATAAAAAATAAAAAATCGTATGCATTGTCACTGGACAGTAAAATCAATTGTCAAACTCTTTTTCTGTTTTTGGGACTCCATTGGTTTGAATGAAATTATGATAAATATCTATTGGTTTTTTAGAAGTGTGTTGTATTGGTCACACGTCTAGTGGTGAATTATTTTAACAAAGGAAACATATTTAACCAATAAATAATTGAAACTTGTTAACAGGCCATCCAGAGTAACCAATGAGTTGAAGAATTTGTGATAAAATGCTATTTCTCCCTGATATGAAGGAGGATTGGATATAATTCTTATTGTCCGATTGGTTTTTCTTCCCTTTTGTCTTTTGTTTGCCTTATACATTATGGCTCAAGTATCTTTTCTTTTTCAAAAGAGACATTGGGGTGGATTCAGGGTATGGATGAGTTGCTACCACCGACCAATCCTTAGGACTCGTTTAGTTCGCTGATTCGAGTTTTGAATTCGAGTTGAGATGTGACTTTATGTGAGAACTTTTTATTGTAGTAAAAAAGTTAAATGTGACTGTTTCTAAGAACTTTTTATTATAACAAAACTCGAATCGTTGAAATGAACAAGACCTTATTTCCTTGATTAAGATGGCATCATCATAAATATGAAAGATGAATATAATTTTCCTTCATTGATTATTGGTTCATGATAAAACATTAACCATTATGGTAAAAAGATTTCCCTAACAACCTCCAACACGTCAATGAATGTAATCACCTAAAAAAAAGAAATGATACATGATAAAAGTTTTGTCAAAAGATGCAAATTATAATCATTCCTTTATTTCTTTTGAACCTAATTTATCAAAAGATGTCCTAACTTTGTGAGGAAGCGGTTATAATTATGTCAACCAAAAGTTGTAGCAAATGGGTTTGGTTTGAACTTTGAATTATTGCCAAACAATTAAAAGAAAAGAGAGAGAGAAAGAGGGAGAGAGAGAAAAAAACACAATCAATGCATGTTTTTTGCAAAAGGGTAAATTCCAAAGAAATCAGTTACAAATTCACTTCCAACCACACCAACATCACTTGAGGAAAAAAAAAAAAAAAAAAAAAAAAAAAACAACGAGAGAAAAAAAAAAAAAAAAAAAAAAAAAAACTAACAATGTCACTCTATTCAGTTTTCCCCATCCACAAAATTTAACCATTTCCCAACTTCACCCTTGAAAATGAAATTTTCTCTCCCACTTTCTCTCACATTTTCAATAGAAAAATAAAAAGAAATCTCTCTCTCTCTAACACAACAACAACGACATTGCTCAAACCCCAACCCAAAATCTTCACACCAGCACACAGCATAGGGCTTCGTTCCCCTCCAAACCCTCTCTCTCTCTCTCTCTCTCACACTTTCTCTCTCATCTTTGTCTCTCTCTCTGGACATTATCGGATCTGATTCGCAAACCGAAACCCACAAAGGTACTTCCAGGTCCTTCCTTGTCCGATCCCTTTCGAATTCAACGACTCTGCACGCAGATCGCGATCAATCGAAGCAGCGCTCCGTTTCTTCCGATCCGTCCTACGCCGCCGCCGCCACCGCCGTCGACGAAAAAGAAGTAGAAGTAGAAGAAGATGACGATGAATCCTGTGTCGTTTTGAGATGGGAATGCCCAAAGCCGAGCGATGAGATGAGCAAAACAGGGGACGAAGAAGACGAAGACGAGTGCTTCTACGAGTCCCTTGATCGCATTGTCTCCTCGTCTTGCTCTTGCTCCACTTCCAACTCCGATTCCGAACAAGAACAAGAACAAGAAGAAGAAGCAAACGCCAAGAACATCTCCAATTCCAATCCCAATTATGATCGCCATTTCCCTATCCCTAAGTTCCCAATGCGCGTCTCGCACTACGACGTTTGGATCTCCGAGCCCTCCTCCGTCTCCGAACGTCGCCGTCGCCTCCTCCGGGAGATGGGCCTCAGCCATGACCCTTCTCTCTCCCGAGCAAAACCCACCGACGACGGCTGTGGAGAGTTCGGGCGATCGGCGTCGTCGGATCAGTTGACTCGCCAGAGACAGGCCGCCGGGATGGTCCGATCGAAATCCGACGGCAGCGATCAGTGTAATTGTTCTTGTTCTTGTTCTTGTTCTTCTCCTTCTACTTGTTGTACTTCCTCTTCTGCTGCTGCTTTTGTTCGTTCTTCTTGTCCAATTCTTTCGATTCGTACGGTCTCGGACGAGGCCGGTTCATTTGTAAATAATAATGTCAACGACAAAAACAACATCAACAATCAGAACTCTTGTACTAGTTTTTCCAAATCGCGGAGTGGCGAGAGCAATGGATCTCCCGTAGCCGATGCCTCTTCGCTGAATAAACCGCCCCTGGGGAAGAATTTTAAGAGGGCCGTGGATGAGATTCGAACTGGCAATCCCGATCCCAATTTGAATCCCGCATTGTCGTCGAGTTCTTTGGCGAATTCGAATAGGAATTTTGGGAATGGCGGTGGTGAAGACGAGGAAGTTTCCGAGTATAATGGGAGTGATGAAAGAACCGATGAGCCCCAAGTGTGTACAATTAGGGATCTTGATAACGGGAAAGAGTTTGTTGTGAATGAGGTTAGGGAAGATGGGACGTGGAAGAAGCTTAAAGAAGTCGGGACTGGGAGGCAGTTGACCATGGAGGAGTTTCAGATGTGTGTGGGGCATTCTCCTATTGTTCAAGAATTGATGAGAAGGCAAAATGTGGAAGAGGGCAATAAGGATTGTTCTGATTCGAATGTCAATGGGGTTAGTGGGGGATGTTCTAAATCGAAGAAGAAAGCGAGTTGGTTTAAGAGCATAAAAAGTGTTGCAAACACCATGAGGGGACAGAAGGAGAGGAGAAGCAGTGACGAGAGAGATACTTCATCGGAGAAGGGCGGTCGAAGGTCAAGCTCTGCCACTGATGATAGCCAAGATGCTTCTTTTCATGGTCCTGAGAGAGTGAGGATTAGGCAGTATGGAAAGTCGTCTAAGGAGCTCACTGCTCTTTATAAGAGCCAAGAGATTCAGGCGCATAATGGGTCCATATGGAGTATTAAGTTTAGTTTGGATGGGAGGTACTTAGCAAGTGCAGGTGAGGACTGTGTCATTCACGTTTGGCAGGTTGTGGAAACGGAGAGAAAGGGGGACTTGTTAATGGATAAAACAGATGATAGTAACTTGAATATGTTCTTTGTTGCCAATGGATCACCTGAACCAACTTCCTTGTCTCCGAATGTGGAGAACAACCCAGAGAAAAAGAGAAGAGGGAGGGCGTCCATAAGTCGGAAATCATTGAGCTTGGATCATATTTATGTGCCGGAGACCGTCTTTGCACTATCAGAAAAGCCCATTTGTTCGTTCCAAGGACATCTCGATGATGTTCTTGATCTCTCATGGTCCAAATCCCAGGTTTGTTACTATTCTGCTTCTCTGGTAGATAGACCTGTTGAGCACTGCCATTAAGTCAATTGTGTAGAGTAATTTGATGGTTTATACCTTTTTGCAAAAGCACTATTTACCCTATCCTTTTCTGTACTGTATATTTTTTTATTATTAATCTCGGGAGCTATGAGTTCATTAGTGCACCTTGATATACTGGGGTACAGTCCCATTGTTGAAGCCGTATCTGTTAAACGCACAATATAATCTTAACGTGTCAGTCTAAAGTTTGTTTTAAGTAGAAAACCTCTATCCTTGGACCTTGGCTGCTATCGATTATCAAAGGTTCTATGGAAAACGATTAATTGCTTTTTCTGATTCATTTTGTCATACGAGAAACGGAGATTTGAATGCATTTCTTCATGTGATTATTTTTTAATGATGATTATTGTAGTAATTGGTATCTTTATGAATGCATCTTATATTTGGACTGTGTGGACTGAAGGTGTGTTTCTCTCTAGACATCTTCATGGGTATCCTAAATAACTTCTGGTATTGGAAATGCTAACCATAACGAACCTTTAACCTAGTAAACTATGAAAAATTGTTGTTGATATTAGGTAAGCCCAAAATAAGAAATATAATAGGCAAAGAGGAGACTTTACCCATCGAAGCTTGAAGGAAAAAGGGTGTTTTAGATGTGTTTTTACAGCATCAGTAGAAGACTGGAAAATTAAAGGATGTGTTCGTGTTTCTTAGCCGTTTGGGAAAGTTGTGATGTAATACGTGCGAATAAGAATAGAAGAATATCGCTGGCGACCTTATAACTGTAGTTGGACATGGGTGTAGAAGGCGAATCATTTCTTTATCCTGATTTTATGCCTTGGGCAGAAAAGACCCTTTTTAATGGGGTTTAAAAAAGAGGAATTGTACGATTTTGATGTGCAGATGAAGAATGGTAGATTGAATATTAAGGTTTGGTGATGAACGGAAAGACGGTAAAGATGCTAACAGGTAGAATTTTTTATGTGTTGTTATCTCCTCCCAGAGAGCTTGTTGGAGTTGTCTCAAATGTAAGGAACTTCTTAAAATTGTGAGAGTGAAACAGAAACCAAAGTTACCTGCAATCGTACCCATGAACAAATAAACAAGTGTTCCAGAATTATCAGAACGAGAGAGCCATCGGATCTTTTTCTTCCCCGTTTAATCCAATAAAACGAACTACCTTATTAGTGGGTAGAGATACACCTATGAGATCACAATGATAGAAGTGGTGATATTATGCATTGATAAAAAATGTGTTGCTGTGTTAAGTCCTCTTAATTGTGATTAGCTTTCTATTGATAAGCCTGACTCTGAAGCAATGATTTGATTTGTTTATACTTCAAAAATTTGATGTTCTCAAGAATCGAAGATTTTAGACGCACTATAAGATTCAGAAAAAGGAATTTTATGTGCGTATTATTTCTTTTAAAATACTAAATGCTTTTTTGAAAGGGATCCCAGAGGAAAGTTTCCTTTGTATATTCATTTCATTGTAGCATTGGCTTTAGGCTGTCATTCTAAGCTTCTATTTCTGTTTTTATTTCGCCTCAGCACTTGCTCTCATCTTCAATGGACAAAACAGTGCGCCTGTGGCATTTGTCTAGCCAGTCTTGTTTGAAGATATTTTCACACAGTGATTATGGTAAGTACTTATATAGCTGCATTGTCTTCTTCATTAAAAAAAAAAGGTGTTGTGGTTTGTTCTTTAAATTGAGTAATTGTTGCACGAACATGGCAAGGATAAATGGGCTCTTTGATTTCTTGGGGGTTGACCTTTTTGTAATTTTTGCTTGGTTGCATTTTAATATATATTTTCAAACATAGTAGCAGACGCATAAATCAGTCAATGAAATTATGGTTTCACGTTTCTTATAGGTTCATAGAGAGTCTGATAGTTTGTCCTTTCATGTAAATGCGCGTGGTCAAATTTAGTAAGAAATAAATTTCTTTTTCTTTTTCACCTCTCCTTCATTTGTTTCTAATGACTCGTTTGTGCATTCCTTGACACAGTAACTTGCATCCAGTTTAACCCTGTTGATGATAGATACTTCATCAGCGGATCACTTGATGCCAAGGTTCGCATATGGAGCATTCCTGATCGTCAAGTTGTTGATTGGAATGATCTGCATGAGATGGTCACTGCTGCTTGCTACACCCCTGATGGTCAGGTTGGGATTATTTTTGTACCTGTTATAATGAGATATATTTGAGTTGAATTTTGGCGCTCACGTAACTTTTGTTGGTCTGAAGGGTGCACTAGTTGGTTCATACAAAGGGAGCTGCCGTTTATACAACACATCTGGTACTTATCACTCTCTCTCTCTCTTCATTCGTTTGTGGGACCCATATGCCTTAGTTTAATTTTTCTGTAACCCTGACAATCAAGTAACAGTGATCTTTTCTGACATGTTTTCAGAGAATAAGTTACAACAAAAGAGCCAAATTAATCTGCAGAACAAGAAAAAGAAATCTCATCACAAGAAAATCACTGGGTTCCAGGTAATTTATTAGCTCTACTCTTTTACCAGTTTCAATTATTCATGAAGCAATTAAGACAGGACCCTGGTTACCATTTTCTTTCCTTGCACGGTTCATTTCATGTTATCTTTGAGCTGCAAGTTTGCTTGATTCTTTTTCAGTTGCTGATCAGTTTCAGTGAACAGTTTGCACCAGGGAGTTCATCAGAAGTACTCATCACGTCCTCGGATTCACGAATCAGGGTTGTTGATGGTGCTGATCTGGTCCACAAGTTCAAAGGTGAGAACAAAATGTGATGACATTTTTTGGTGTTATTTGTAGGCTTAAGAAAATGCATATGGTGCAATCTTTTACTCTCCAAACCTGATCCCTGTCTTATCAATAATCAAGAAAGAAGTAATGAAGCAGAGACATTGATTTTTGTAGCTTGATGAAGATGTCACTAGATCTAATTACACTCAATAGTTTCATAATTTAAAAGGTCCTGTTGCTGCTGATTTCGTCTCAGGATTTCGAAACACAAATACGCAGATTTCAGCCTCCCTCACAACCAATGGCAGATATGTGGTGGCTGCTAGTGAGGATTCTCATGTGTATATATGGAAGCATGAAGCCGATTCCCGGCCCAGCAGAAGCAAAGGGGTAACAGTCACTCGCTCTTATGAGCATTTCCACTGTCAAGATGTATCAGTGGCCATCCCTTGGCCTGGGATGGCCGATACGTGGGGACTTCAAGATGAGGAGCAAACCCCTCTTGACAACAGTCTGGATGAAGTCTCCACAGCCAACCATCCCCCAACACCTGTTGAGGAGGCTATTGCCGACGAGGGTTCACGATCAGCTTCTGGTTGCAGCAATAGTCCTCTTCACGGGACCATTTGTAGTGCATCTAACAATTATTTCTTCGACAGAATCGCAGCAACGTGGCCAGAGGAGAAACTTCTGTTAGCAACTAAAAACCGGAGCCCTCGTGTTAGCGTTGATTTTAGCAGCAACGGGGTAAGCCAAAACATGTCAGCCTGGGGTATGGTGATTGTAACCGCCGGTCTTCGTGGGGAAATTAGAACTTTCCAAAATTTTGGGTTGCCAATTAAGATTTAAGGGTGAAAAAGATAAAGAACCGAGACCCTTGAGCATTGGAGGGAAAATGGAGATGCAAAACGAAAAGGTCAAGAGTTCATTTTTCCCCAGATAGTTGGCAAAATTGTGTACAGAGAGAGAGAGAGACATTGGGTGAGATTTGTAATATTAGCGGAGTTGCATTTCTTTCTATGTTCTTGTTGCCTGTCGGATGTGCAGCCTCAGATGGGAGAGCCTGTCCGACTGCGTCAAGAATGAAAATAGATTTGTTAAAAGAGAGGGAAAAAAAAAAAAAAGGGAACTACACAATGAATTTAGAAAAAAAAAAAAAAAAAAAAAGAAACCCCGATGGGATTTGTGTAATCGGGAATTGTAGAGTTATGAGCATGGCAAAAGCCATATTGAATTAAAAATGGAAATTCTTTTACTATTTATTTTTTACAATTCCCTCTCAATAATTACATTAATTGGAGAACCTAACGGAAGAGTTTTCACGTCTTTACGGTTGATTTGACGAAGTGGTGGCCTTTGTCAAATCGATGTGTCCCTCATCTAACTATTTGATAAGCATTCACCAAACAATAATAATAACTTTCAAAAAAATGATAATAATAATATGAAGTTTTTGATAAAACAGGTACTTCCTAATAAATAACGAAATGGTGCATCGCCTTTCTTCTGAACCGATTATAGATAAATACCAAAACTTCATATTTGTTGATATGTAAGTAATGAACTGTGAAAATGGCAATTAGGCTCCGTTGTAAAATTCGACAAAGTTAGAGGGAGAAAATTCAAGCACAGAATCTCTAATGATTTTTCCTAATGCTTCTCATGATACTCATTTTCAAGGATGAAAACAATCAGAAATAGTAGAAAATAGGTCAATATGAAAAGCTTAAGAAAGTATATAGGCAAACTTTTAGTTATAAAAATTAATAGGCCATAACTTATCAAGTTATGATTCATAACCAGATAAGTTATGGACAAAAACTGTGAATTATGGACAATAACTTGTCAAGTTATGGTTCATAACCAGACAAATTATGGACGAAAACAGTAATTTAACATATTTATTAACTTATATAAACTATTAACCTATTAATTTTAATTCATCTCAAGTCTTAACTTATTTCCTTCTTTCTCCCAAAAACAATTAGCAAAGTATATGGCCCATTCCATTGCTTGCTCTTCAACTTGGTTATGGTCCTATGGAGCATCTAATGGGCTTAACTTATTTGGGCCTGGTCACCCCAGAGGTGTAGGCCTGGTTTACTATCTACACCCTGATCCATAATTTTTAGCCCAGAAATGCTCTCCACCAAAAGTGGGCCCCACTCAAAGATCAAAGATGTTGGGAAATCTTCGAAGAATCCCAGAATGTAGCTAAGCTAAGCTAATCTGCTAAAAAAAAAATCCTAATCCTCGAGATTATGTGCCCCCACTACTGGTCTCTTTCAACATCTCATGCACAGCCCATAAACTGCAGGGAATGGGACATTTTCGATGATCTGACCAAAATGTCCTTTGCTTGTCTTCCAAAACCTCAAACTGGCCAAAGAGAAAAAGGTAAAAAATATCAAAACGAAATCCAAAACTCAAAATCTCATTGGTTGGACGAAATTGATAGTGGCAGACTCACATGCTGCAAATTATCTTATCCACTCATATCCCAAATTTTTTATTTTTATTTTAAAAACACTCCTTTTCCTCTTACTGCTAAAATCTGCCAAATATAACACTATATATAAGTAAGTAAAGCTTGGTTTCTCTTTCAAAAGCTAAGTTGAGTTCCAATTTTGCGTCGTTACCAAAAAAGTGAAAGAAATAGAAAATAATTAGAAAAAACTTAGTCCAAAGAGGTTAAGCAGTTTACTCTGCTAGTGGTAATGGCTCTTCAGGCTGCAGCTTTGGTTCCCTCTGCTTTCTCTGTCCCCAAAGAGGTCCGTTAATACTTAATATTAAATTTTGTCTTCAGAAACAAATATTATTATTGTGTATATGTATTTCTTTTGTTGCTGTTGTGAATAAAGGGGCAGTTAATACTGACGTTTTGAGAGATGGGTTTTGCTTTGCAGGCCAAGACTGGTGCTTCTTTCAAGGATTCATGTCTATTTGGAGTTTCTCTCTCCGACCATGTCAAAGCTGAATTCGGCTCTGTTGGACTCAGGAGCAAGGTTAGTTTTACACATTATATTTTCTCTTTCTTTGTTTCATTTTTGGTTTATAGTAGTATTGTTTTCTGGACATTAATCTTGGGACGTGTCATATAATTGGACATAATTTCATTTTTTTTCTTACACTACTAGTTACTACAAAAAACAGTGACATTTTGTTATCATTTTGGAATTCACTTCAAAAAGTAAGCTTCTAGTATGTCAATGTCATCTTTGATTGTATATTTATCTGAAGGGGAAAAAAAAAAGCTGAATTTTCACTACTGATAGTTTATATAGGACCCACAAAAATGTTAATGGATAAACCCTCATACATGTATCCCTATATCATAATGGCAAAATATTTAACTTCACTTCTACATAATCATAAGATTTTTTTTTTAATTTTATTTTTTGTGTTTCTCCCTGCATTGTAGAGAGAATTCAACTTGAGAACTGGAGTAGTCAGGGCACAAACAACTGCCACCACGACCCCATCAGTGACTAAAGCAGGAGCAGAGGGGAAGAAGACTCTAAGAAAGGGCAGCGTCATCATCACCGGTGCCTCCTCGGGGCTTGGTCTAGCCACAGCCAAGGCTCTGGCTGAGACAGGAAAATGGCACGTGATCATGGCCTGCAGGGACTTCCTCAAGGCCGAAAGAGCGGCCAAGTCCGCCGGCGTTGCCAAGGAAAACTATACCATCATGCACTTGGACCTGGCCTCCCTCGACAGCGTCCGCCAATTCGTCGATAACTTCAGGCGCTCTGGTCGCCCGCTCGATGTTCTGGTGTGCAATGCTGCTGTCTACCAGCCAACTGCCAAGGAACCTTCCTTCACTGCTGAAGGGTTTGAGCTCAGTGTCGGGACTAACCACCTAGGTCATTTTCTGCTCTCGAGGTTGCTGCTTGAGGATCTCGAAAAATCTGATTACCCTTCCAAGAGACTCATCATTGTTGGCTCCATTACAGGTAGATCACAATTTACATCAACAAACAATGTGCCTTGAATGAATGATTATTGTTATATTTTGATCCTTTTCCTTTGCCTAATGTTTGTTAATATGCACAAGCTTAATGCATACCTTGAAAAGTTTTCAATGCCATTCAAGAATATGTAGGAGTTAATAGAATGCCTTTTTATGACATATTTGGAGATATAGTAGAAATGCACGAAACTCATTTGTAACAAAGAATTTGCATTCTATTTTGCATACCATATGAGTCATACTTAACATGCTAAAGGCTAAATATGATACAGGGAACACAAACACTTTGGCGGGGAATGTACCTCCAAAGGCCAACTTGGGTGACTTGAGGGGACTTGCAGGAGGCTTAACCGGGCTAAACACCTCGCCCATGATCGACGGAGGAAGCTTCGATGGTGCCAAGGCCTACAAGGACAGCAAAGTCTGCAATATGCTCACCATGCAAGAGTTCCACAGGCGATACCATGAGGAGACCGGCGTTGCATTTGCTTCCCTTTACCCTGGCTGCATTGCCACAACCGGCTTGTTCAGAGAGCACATTCCTCTGTTCAGGCTTCTCTTCCCTCCGTTCCAGAAGTACATCACAAAGGGCTTTGTCTCGGAAGAGGAATCCGGCAAAAGACTTGCTCAGGTAAGGAACTGGCAATAACTTAAGCTTCTGGAAGATTGGAAATCTAACATGGTATCAGATCAATCCTTTTATAACATTAACTTGTGAAAATGGCTTGTGTTTTGACTCAGGTTGTGAGCGATCCGAGCTTGACAAAGTCGGGGGTTTACTGGAGCTGGAACAAGGATTCAGCTTCGTTTGAGAACCAATTGTCTCAGGAAGCTAGTGATTCAGAAAAGGCTCGCAAAGTGTGGGAAATCAGTGAGAAGCTTGTAGGCTTGGCCTAATTTGAAACTTTCTTGTTAACTAAATCTAAATTTGACTTGATGAAGAGGTCAAGAAGGATGGTTTCAGCAGTTAAGAGAGTCCTTTTGTGAGTGCGGGGTTTGAATTTTTAGAAGCTATGATGATGTTTGTGCAGAGAAAATTTTCTGTTGTAGATGAGTAGGCGTTTTGTTAAAGTTATGAATAAAAATCATTCGCACCTTTGCAAAGTGCATATCAATCTAAGAGTTGCATCTTTTTTGCCTCTTTCAAATGGTCGAACAATCGAATTGTTTCAGGCCCCGAAAAGAAGAAAATGACAACAACAGAATTGAATAAAAAATCAGAACAAGATTTGTGGCTAAATCTGTTAATAGTTTATAAAATATTATGACTGAAAGACCATGCGACAACACTTCCTCCGTTTAACAAAGAATTCTAACAATGGGGCTACATTAAAATTTGGGAGACAAAGTAAGAGTTTTAAAATTTAAGAACCAAAGTGAGAATGAGGCTAGAATATTAGAAGCACAAGTAAGAATAATAATAATAAAAAAAATACTCTTTTACCAATATTCAATTTGTTTGCCCTTTTTTTTTTTTTTTGGGTAAGCAAGTTTATTCCATGCCTTTATTTAGGGAAACAAAAGGTCACCAACAGAATAAAATGAGTTGCCATTTCACTTTTAATTAATTTCAACGAAAAGGGATCATACCTAGGATAGTGAAACGGACATTATGGAAGTTGAGTTTTCTTATGATTTCTCTACTATTGGCGCAAGTACTGGAAAGATTATCAACCAAAACTCTTCAAGTATCAACCAAAACTCTTCAAGCTTCTTCAGGATCTGAGTGTATAAAAAAGAGTACCGCTTTAAGCACAAATTTGTTACCGCCTTATTGAAGTGTTGCCAACTTACCATTCATTGACCAAAATTTTCAAAACGCTCTCTTTCAATACCATGTTCAACAACAAATTTTTCAGGACACGGGAAGTTTTCAAGTTGTAGTTATTTCTTTTAGATTCTTATAACATTTAACAGTATTTCAGTCTCATACAGTGGGTTTATTATACATATAATTCTAACATATACAATAACTTTATATCACACATACATCTACTCTCCCTAATACATACAAAAAAACAACTTAAAGTTCATAAGCGGGAAACCGGGCCTCAGATGGTTCAGTCATATCTAGAAAGAGATGAGCCATCCCTCCAATACCTTCAAACAGTGAATAGGGATGGTCACCCCCATGCATTCTTCCCTCAGATATGAGTTTTCGAGCTCTGTCATGTAGGAAGCAAGCAAATGCTTTAGCCTTGTACAAGTATTCCACCTTCCCCGTCAACCGGTAGAGTGCAAGAAAGACGTATGCATTTCCACTGATGCCATGGCAGATACCAACTCGCTTTAGCAGCCCCCGTTCCCAAACAACGTCCCCTGCGTCCATAGCTGCTTGTAGAAATTGCTTATCTTCAAACACCTAAGGATTTAAGAAATCATAAAATAAAATAAAAAGGTGTCATCCCGGAAATGTTGTGGCCCATTAAGTAAAAGGAAATTTCTACTAAGCTTGTTATCAAGGAAAATGGCAATTTAAGATACAGGCCCACAATAGTTTGGTGTTAATGCCTATGAGGACAAGAAAAAAATAGTAAAGCGTATGGAAATATAAAACATGGAAAAGAGGATAAAGCCTAAATTCTATTTATTCATTTCTTGCACCGTCAGGCAATATGCTGGGAAAGAATTACCTCAGCTGCCTTCACAAGGGTAAGAGCAACTCCAGGAGCACCATGGCACCAGTGCACAAGACGGTCTGACTCGCTTCCTTCACTTGAAGGATAGTTGCCACTCGGGAAACAGTTCTTAATCATGTAGCGTAGTGTACCCTTGACATCCTCCGCCTCGTCAGATTTCAGTTCCATGTCCATCAAGACATGCATGATCCCTGCTAGTCCATGGGCCGCACCCCAGTATTTCTTCCCATGCCATTCATACATCAAGGGGCATTTGCCTTTCTTGGCCAATTTTCGACCAGCCTTTATGATCTCATCTACAACTGATCTCTAGACAAATTTCGTTCCCAATTTAATAGCAAATCAGTTCAATCCTCTAGAGAGACAATCAAGCAGAAAAATATAGAGAGAGAATTTGCCTTACTCTAAGGGTATTAGAAATTGTGCCGTTGCCAATATGATGGTTTATGAATGAAGAGGCCCATAAGAACCCCGCTCTTCCATATAGTAATTCATTTGGCAAGTCACTAGAAAGTTTAATCTGCTCAAAGGTAGAAAAATGAATATGATCAATGGGAACAAAGGGTAATTAGCTTTGGGGGACAATGTCATCATTGACAGGTTAAATTCTATAAAATCAATTACCTCTTTGAATTGTGTTATGTAATGACCAAGTAGCCTTTCATCACCGGCATGCTTTGCTGCAACAGCACCTAGAGCACAAACACTGGCTCGTCCACACAGGAAAGTCACGCGGCTGCAACTCCATGCATTCAAGTTAAACCACTCACTTAAAATGCAGGAAACTAAAATAAAACAGAAAAAATCCAAGTGATCAATTCCATGGACCTCAGATTATAAAGCACTAATCAATCCGAACATGTATTGCTTTTCAGAAAGAATCATCAGAATAATTAAGGTAGCAAATCCAAGTTCTAACAAAGAGTCAAAGAGGATCTCATTTTTCATATCATAATCCTAATGATATAGGGCCAGAGCTAGGGCCAGGACGGCAATCTTAGCTAGTGTGGGTGAAATAAAGGGGACAAAAAAATAAAAAATAAAAATAAAAATAAAGGAGAGAGAGACACAGCAATCACTCTTCAACAAATGAAGGAAAAATTCAAGAATCAACCAATAAAGGAAACAATCAAGAAGAGATCACAACTCACTCTCAATCATAATCATGGCCATATTAAAATCCGTTTGACAACTCGTAATTTCCTCTATATGACTGATTGAACATATAATTTTAGGATCATTATTGCTTATTATTCGAAAGTAATCTTTCTGTACATTTCTGTTTCAATTGTTTTCATATTATCAGAGGAGGAGGTCCTGAAGCTCAAACCCTATAATTGCACAACTAAAGCAGAAAAAGTCCAACTAATTTAAAGAAACCCATGCATAAAGTGAATTCCTCAACAGATAAGACTACTCGTTTTTCTCGACAATATCTTGGATTCGCAATGCGCGGGCTATAAGCCTAGCTATATGGGCAATACACTTTGTGAGAGATTCATATGCCACCCGATGATGCAGCCTCCCGGAGTTAGGTTATTTGAGTACACCACCCTCTATCCTATAACGCTTTTTCTTTAGGGAAAAAAGGAATCCTCAATGGATAACCAAGGGAACCAACAGAGTAAATTCAATTTAAAAGCAACATCAAGCAATAACTTTTCACCAACCATAATTTCCAAAGAGCAAGTTAGCTGAGCACGTATACGAGGATATAGAAACATCACCTAGAATCTCTGGAGGCAGAATCACAAGCCTTAACAATCTCCAAGCACAATTTAAGATCATTTGCATTCTTGGTAACTTGATAAGCTTTGAAGGCCAAGTAAGCCGTTCCAAGCGCCCCAGTATACACAGTATAATCTTGTACACGCTTTCCACTCAAAACCCATGTCTCTCTCACCACCTGAAACCCAAAAATTACGTATTTTCCTCAATCCCACACCATAAAAGACCAAAAACCTGAAAACCCATAATTTAGTTTTCAATTTTCACAAGGCCTCCTCACTTACCGAACAGCTCCAAAATATAAACATACCCAATTGAAGGAGGGAAGAAAAAGAAAAAAAAAAAGAGCTCAAAGTTTACTTGAATGTGCATGGAAATAATACCGTGTCTTTAAGCTCCAAAGCCGAGCTTCTGAGGCTGTCGGAGAAAGTTTTGTAGGGAAGGGAGAGAAGCTTCGTGAGCGGGTCTACGGCTGCTTCAGACGACGTCTCGCCGACTGGCTTCTCTGCTAAGAAGTTGGGCATCACGTTTTGGAAGAATCTATCAGCCATCTCTCTACTATCTCTAACAACAAACAACACACTCACACGAAAGAGGTAGAATGAGATGCGTCGCTTCTCTTCATGGCTTTTTTGTTCCGTTAGTACACTCGAGACCTCCTTTACTTCGCTTTTTAGCCCAAAAAAAAAAAAAAAATTAGATAAGATTGTTTATGAGAGTTTTTTACTATAGAAAAACTAATTTTAATTTTATGTGAAAGTTTTTTACTGTAACAAAAAAGTTAAGGCTTGTTCTTTTGGAGTTTAACTTGAGTATAATCCTTGAGTTGAATTTGAGTTATAACTTGAGTTGAACTTGTAACTTGAGTTTGTGTTTGGTTGTGTACATTTGAGTTATGGTTTGAGATAAGAATCTTTTTGAGTTTGTGTTTGAGTGAGTCAAAACTTAAATTTGTATTTAGATAGTATTTTAAAAACTCAATGCTGATGAAAAATTTTAATAGAGTATATGGGTCGGGTTTTATTCGTCTTTTCGTTGTCAACGCATAGAAAAAAAAATCATCTCAGTCAGAATTAAAACGAAAAAGTTATAACATTTTTAAAAATAAAAAAAATATTATTCATTAATTTGAGTTCGAGTTTCTGAACTCGAGTTGAAGGGGAAACTTGAACTTGAGTTTTAGTCATAAACTCGAGTTTGAACTCGAGTTTAAACTCGAGTTTAAACTTAAAAGAACATGAATTCGAATAAAGTTATAACTCGAGTTGTCTTTTTTTGAGTTTTGCACTCAAAAGAACAAGCCCTTAGATGTGATTGTTTGTGAGAGCTTTTTACTATAGAAAAACTCAAATTCTAAACTCGAATCAGCGAAGTGAATGGGGCCTAAATACGTTTAAATAGAACTCGAATATTTTGAGTCTCAAAAATGATATGCGTTTTGATTTTTTTGGTACGTTAATTTATGGATAAATTAAATTTTTTTACTAAATTTTTATAAAATTACGTAAAAATTAAAAAATATATAAATCTAATAGTTATAAAATCTAATTTATTGATACACAAGCATATTAAAGAATTTCTTATTGAAAAAATATGAGTTTTTATAATATCTAAAAAAATAAATTACTGATAAGTCTCTGTCAAGTTCTATCAAAATTTTTGTATATTAACTATATTTATCGGTTTGAAATTGACCATAAGAAAGTTTTACTAGTGAAAATCCTACAAAAAAATAGATTAGTTAACACAAAATCACAAATGATACCTATATTATTTAATAGGTGACAATTTCATTCCTATTTTTAAATTTTAGTAAAATACTCTCTAAACTCTTTAAATAATTCACACCAATATGTTAACACCTGCCAAATTCATAATAGAAAATCGCACATGATCATCACGTGGCCTTATAATGAGGGGCATTATGAAAAAACATCCTGTTGGCCGAATTTGGAGCTGAAATTGGTTTCTTTTTGTGCCAATTACTAAATAAATGTTCGACAAATTATACGGTTGTCTCTTAAATTATAAGTATTGTCACAAAATGCCTCTCAAATTTTAATTTTAGTTTTTTTCTCTAAACTTTATCAGTGCTTGTAGTTTTCTCCCTCTTCTGTTAAATTCTTAATGGAAAATATCATGGTAAAAATTTCACAAAAGAACTTATTATGTTAAGATTTTTAACATAATAACATGTATTATACAAATAATTAGTGTTATTTAAATAATTTAGTAAATAATTATTCTGTTAGTTTTTCCTTATGCAATAATATAAAAGTGCAATTACACAATAAAAATTATTATTTTTTTACTATAACTTTCTTCTTAATTTACTTGACTTAGAAACTTTTGAGATTTATAAATAGAGGAAAACAACATTAACGAAAGTAACAATTTAATAAAGGGAGAAATTTTAAAAGAATTACTGAAGTTAGAGAGAAAAGGCTAAAGTTCAAAGGTCATTTGTGACAAGACATATAATTCTACGGGTAACAGTGTAATTAGGCTAAACAATATACACAAGACAAAGAAGCGGCGTCGTTTTGTGAAATAGCAAGCACAACATCCTTCTAATTTCCACTGTAAATTGAAAAGCCCTAACAACTGGCTAAAACCCAAAATCTCAGCGGCCGTAAAACTCTAACCCCAAACCTCTCTGCTCTCAAAATCGCCGATTCTTCATCATCCTCCTGTTCAAAGGTCAGACTTTTTCTGTTTAATCTCCCCTTAATTTCCCACTCTTGCATCATTTATTTTCTCGGAAACCAAACAACAACGCCAGCAAAGAACTGAGGCTATAGTTGTAGATTAAAGATGGTAATAGTTTGGCAACATTGAGATAGTTGTTTTATTCTGTGGTCCTTAATTAGAGTTTTAGATTTTCCGGGAAAATCCGATGGGGAAGAAGAGGAAGCACGGCGAGACCGAGGTTGCGGCGGCACCGGTGAAGAAGGACGACGCAGCTCCTGAGAGACCGCAGAGGACGCTTGTGGGTTGGAAGGACAAGAACAACAATGAAGCCCGAGAGAGTGCATCGGCCGTGGGTTTTAGGAACAAGGAGAAGGTTTTGGTCACTTGTTCCCGTCGAATTAATTTCAGGTTTGATAAAAAAAAAAATACAAATTCACGCATTCTTTTGCGTTTCGGTTATGTCTTTGACTTAATAATAAAGTTTTATTAGTAAAATAAATTTCCGAAATTTTTTATTTGGCAAAATGCATATGGAACGATCAGGAACGGCCATTTTTTACACACTGTCGTCCTTTGCAAAAATGAAAAATGTCATTTTGCTAATTTTGCCGATTTTACTTTTTTGGTTGGTGGTGATGAAAAGTTGAAACTTTCTTATAGATATCGGCATTTAATGTTGAATGTGGTGTCGCTTTTGCCTCACTGTAAGAAGGATAACAAGGTGGAGTCTAAGGAAACCAAGGGCGCCACTCTAAATGAGCTTGTTGAGCTTAAGAGTTGTTCTTCCTGTTTGTTTTTTGAGGTAAACTTCTTATTGTTCTTTTGGATAACGCGTTGAATTGTATTGTATGTCTACAATTATCGATGAATATGTCTGAGTAATTTTGTCTGAATAAAAATGAAAGATAGATAGTAGGGCTATTCGAGGGAACTTCATTGATAGGGTTTTTGAGGAAAATCAAACTTGTAAAGACAATATTGTCAAATTAAAGCATCCAAAATAGAGAGAAGACTTGGATGATTCATGCCTCCTTCAACAAATTATTGACTATTTCAAATAAATAAAATCTAAAGAATAAGTACACGATTTATTTAGGTTCAAAGTATGATTTGTCATGATAATGTGTATAGGTTTTGTTTCTTGTTGGCAAATTGGTTGAGTTTTGTGAGAATGAAAATATGAAGATTTAAGCATAATGGGAGGGAGAACGATTGGTGCTTAAAGCAAGATTAGGTGTTTGTGATTAGTTTATCAACGAATGAAGCTTTCGTCTGTTTACATTTTTATGCACTGATTTGGTGCCTTTTCATTGTTCAATTTTCAGTGCAGGAAACGAAAAGATCTTTACTTATGGATGGCTAAGTGTCCCAATGGGCCCTCTGTGAAGTTTTTAGTTAATGCTGGTAATTAAATTTGGGCTACCTGACTGTTGATACTTGATGTTACAAGCTTCTTCTTGGTTGCTATATAGAAGTAAAATACCTGCGTTTTTAGTATAGTTTCTCTTATGATTGCAGATTAAACAATTTCATATTGAGTGTATCTGTGCGTTAAATTCATGAGTGTAAAATGTCAGAAAAATTGTGAGTAAAATTTTTCTATGCTCTTTCCAGTGCACACTATGGAGGAATTGAAACTTACTGGGAATCATTTACAAGGATCACGGCCCCTTTTAACATTTTCATCCAATTTTGATCACAATGCTCATTGGAAACTTTTGAAGGAGATGATTACACAGGTAACATGAATCTTGTGTTTTCTTCTGATACGTAGTTCTGTTATGTATTTTTTGTTCCCTCAATGTGATGATTTGTCCCATGGGCCTTGTTGCTATGCATGCATTATACTTGCATATGAAACTGTCAACATGAACTTTTGGCTTTCTTTATATATATATATATATATATATATACCCAAAAGGTCCATGGAAAGTTCTCTTTACTTGTGGTAGTTTTTTCGGCTTTAAACTTAAGCTGAGCCTTGTACACGGACCTTGCATGTTTGACTCTGGAATGATGTAGATGATTGAGCCAAGCAGTTAAGTTTCTGTAGGAGTAAATTCTAGCTTGGTTGCATGATCATTTTTTTGGACATATTGGTACAAGTTATTACTTTGTGCTTCCTTCTTCCTCATTTTCTCCAGATATTTGGAGTTCCAAAGGAGCACAGGAAATCTAAACCGCACCATGATCATGTGTTTGTTTTCTCCATTGTTGATGACCACATTTGGTTCCGGAATTATCAGGTTAGTTATGTCGTATATAATTGTATTAAATTTTGTGTTCTGATGTATAGTATTTCTAGGTTTATGACAATAAGAGACAGATTTGTCAGTATTTAATATTTCTTCTTGTGCAAATATTATGATGGTTCGAAAAAAGGTTGATGACGTGACTGGTTAGTAGGTATGATAGGATAAGGATAGTACTAATGTGATATAGAGAAGTGTTATGATAACTTCTGAAAGATGTAATGCTGTGAGCCATCTTTGTTCTTGGATGCTGACAGTCTCAAAAAAAGAGAGAGATAGAGAAAATGTTACTTTCCATTTTAGTGGTTAATAAAGAATATTTCAAGCAACCTCTATTCTTGATCCTTGAAGATAATGAGAATGTGAGCTTTTGGAATAAGTTGGCATTATATACTTTTACAACATGATGCATCTTTATTCGTGTCACGTGTTGTATTCGTGTCGTGTTTTGATCGTTTTTTTTAAATTTACAGTCAACCCGAACACGACCCGTAACACGAATTTTTTAAAAAACCACAACACGAACACGACACGACCACTTTACGAGTTGACACGACACGACCCGAAAATGACCCATGAATCCGAAATTGACATGAAAATTGTATACTTTTATTTAGTTTTTTACATATTAGAAATAACTTAAAATTCATAACACACTAAATTACAATAACATCCATTGAAATTAAGCAAATAATAGTATAAGATTTTGAGTATAACTGTTATGATATCACAAGTTCATAATAAAATTTAAAATATGAAATGAAAAATATATGTATTTTTTAGTTTTTTACGAGTTTCGTGTCGTGTTCGGGTTAGGCGGGTCTAACCCGAAATTGACCCGTGTTTTTCGTGTCAATTTCAGGTCGACCCGATTCTGACCCGAACATCTTTTTTCTCAACCTTAACCCGCAAAATTCGTGTCGTTTTCGAGTCGTGTCGTGACCCATATTGCCGGCCCTAATTGCGGCGGGCCGGTGTTTTATCATTTGAAAACTTATAGCTCATGGATTTAGGGTTGCAGTGGACTGGTGTATTATTATTTGAAAATTTATCGCTCATGGACTTGTATCTTCTTTCACCACAGATATCTGTTCCTCATATTGAATCAGACAAAATAGCTCGTGGGGGCTTGGATAACATGACCCTTATTGAGGTTTGTGGTAAAATTTTTCTGTGTACACATCTCATTGGGTAGTTCCTGTGAAATTTGACTTGCGGAACTGGTGTCTGTAGGTTGGGCCTCGGTTTTGTTTGAATCCGATCAAGATATTTGGTGGCAGCTTTGGAGGCCCTACGCTGTATGAGAATCCATTTTACATATCACCAAACCAGGTTAGTCATTCTTTTGAAAAAAGAGAGTTTTGGCGGAATCTACTTGCGTGACTATCTACTTGCCGTTTGTTTTATATTTTGTGGGCAATAACTGATGCTATTTACTCCTTTATCGCGCTTAGATTCGGGCATTAGAGAAAAGGAAGAAGGCTGGAAAGTTTGCTAAGAAAGTCAAAGCAAAGACAAGAAGAAAGATGCATGAGCAATCAAATCCACTGGAGCCTGATGAGTTTGCCGAAATGTGGAAGGAATGATCTTTCCCAATTCTCTTCCGTCTTCCGTAGAAAGAGACAATCAGACTGGAAATCATGTTATATTCTGCTGGAAGTGGCAGGTTTTGGTTTTTACTGCCATATCGTATTTTCACTATTAAAATTTGTCTCCTGCTCGATTATATGATATATATTCAAGTTTGGATTTATTGTAACATATTATTACCTTCCCTAAGTTCTCACAATTTTTTTTTTGGATAATCATTAAGGGCTTCTAGTTGGTTGATTATCGTTATGTCATGAAAATGTAGTAAGGTATTTAATTTCGTTTTAAAGAAGGCAAGTGGAGACTTTTATTCTGTTACAAAGGGAAGACTGTTAAAGACTTCTAGTGTATTTCGCTAGTTCAAATCACAACTCAAGTTTTAACATTATAGTGTTCTCTTTTAAAAATTTAAATTCAACTTTTTCTCATACAATTCTTTCACATGAATTTATTTTTTAACTCAAGTTTCCAAGTCAAACGAGCAAAATAAATGAAGACTTCTAGCATGTTCAAGTGACATTGTGAGAAATGATAAAGCAATTTAAGGGTGGTAATTCGTGTCGAAAAATATCAATTCAAACACGATTTGTTTATTAAATGTGTTTAAAATATCAACTCAAATACGATTCATTTATTAATCATGTTAATTGTGTCAATCCGTTTAAATTAATATATTAAATAAATAATTAATATAATAATGACTTATTTTACACGGTCAATACATGTTTAATATGTTTGTTGGTCAATTTATTCATTTTTTTAAGAAAAATAGATGAATTTTATCTACAAATATTAAAATTCACATTATTTATATTTAATATGTCATATAAACTTTCATGTTATATCACATATTATTAGATTGTAGATAATAAATAATTAATCGTGTCAATTCGTGTCACTCCGTGTTAGGAGGTCAACCCTAACTCAACTCATTTATTAATCGCGTTAATCGTATCAATTCGATTATTATGATTCAAACCCATTTATAATAAACTCAAACTCATTAACTTGGTATGGGTTTTGAATCGTATCGTCGTATCGTTATCTGAATTATCAGCCTTAAAACAATTACAATTAATGCTGGTTGGTTTCTTGTTCTTCTATTTTCTTTTTTTAATTTCTTTATAAAATATATATAGGCGTCGTCTTTGATCCGGCAGCCGGACTGAAAACAAAAAACAAATGAACACATTAGGTGAAGTGCTGGAATGCAATCAGCACGTAACATGTCAAATTACAAGAAAATGAACAGTCCAGCTGTTGTATATTAGTCCAGTCAGTTGAATGTTGTTGGTTGTTCTTTTTAGTAACACACAAGAGACATCTGCCACGCGTATAGGCTTTGCTAAGTAGAATTGTCTAATGCCAAATATCTTTACGCAACTGCTTCTACTTGACCTTTCTCAAGCGTTTGTCTTCAATTGAGGTGGAGAGTATCCAAATTGTGCACAAACAATGAACCGATCATTTGGATAACAGGATAAGTCTATTAAAGAACTCCAACTTTTGTCTTTTGGCAGTATGCGCATATGACTTTTGACTTGACAACGGAAAATCTCCAAAAAAAAACAAGAGTTTATCCTTGAAACCCTCACTGACGCGTATTGGATTAAGGATGTAACCGGAAATGGTTTTCTCAGCTTCAAATAATTTTTCAAGGACCACCTACTAATTTGGATAAGTGGGACCTACTTGTATTATAGCAGGATAACTGATGACCTACTCATAATATGCTATAATACATATTTAAAAAATACTTTCACTTTTTTGTCATTCTTGTCGATTATTTTATTTTTTTGTTTAAATAATAATATTTTATTTTTATTTAAATATAAAATATTATGTTAATATAATTCACGTATTAAATAATAAATAAAAAACACTAATATTTCTCTACTTATTTAAGTCACACATTGTTTTCAAAAGAACAGGAAAAAAAAAGTATGATTTGAAGTGCAATTACATCTGATTATCGTTAAAACAAAGAAAGAGAATACAACACAAGCTTGTAAAAGGGTAAAAGAAGTCCCAATTAAAGGATTACATATAACACAAGTTATTAAGACCATTGGAAGAATATGCTTGGCAAACCACCGTCACAAAGTGGATTCTATTCGTGAGCCTCACACTGCGAGATTGACTTTCTGCGCTACCGGTGTCTCGTAGCATTATCAGAGATGCCCTAATCTAATGTGAGGCCCACTCTGCCCAGTTGGTTTCGCTTCCGACGCGGGGAATGCTGTTGACTCTAGTGTACTTATCAACGTTGAAGTTGGCTCCGCACATAGCCCCTTCACTATCAATCCTAGGCATGGCCTTCACTTTATTCATTGGATGCTCAAAGCTCATCAGTCCTCCTTCACTATGGAACATAAAACCTACACCCCAAACATATAACATCTTTGTAAGATTCTTAGGACCCTTCATTCATGTAAACTTGTGTATAAAATTTTGCAAGTAAAACTACTATACATTACATCCTCTTAGCATTTCAAAGGATAACATAAAATTTCATTCAATAAATAAATAAATAAATTGAATCGTTTATTTTTTTTAAAGCGATTTGAATTATTGATTTTTTTTTTTCTCAATTTTTATTAAGTCCACTTGACAATTGTTTGCGACAATTCTATTTGTTTATGCTCGGTTTGTTTTATTTGTTTTAAGGGTTCTGATTTTGATTTAATTTGTTAGTATTTTTCTTTCAAAAAAAATTTAAACTTAAAAAATCAAAATCATAAATAAAGATTCTAAAACCAAACCAAACGTCACCTTATTTTCATACTTTATTTTCATCATTCAAAGAGATTTGAAATTCTGTAAAAAAAAAAGTGGTTGAAATCTTGTGTTCACATCCAACGAGCAAGGAAATTTAGAACAAAAAGTACCTGTAGGAAAAGGCGCAAAGGATTTAGCACAGCCTTCTTTAATAACCTCCAAATCATCAGAAATTACCACAGAGCCATCAGCAGCAATACCCCAATACAGTTTCACCCCACCATCGGAGCCCTAAAGCCAGAAAAATCATATAAGGCCATGTTTGGATCCAAGAATAATGTTGTCCATACACATCTTTTACAAAGATAATCATAGTTATATGTATACATACATATATATATATATATAATATAGAACATACCAAAGCAGCAAAGACTGAACCAGCCTTGCTATCATACACAACAAAGGCAAAGCTTCCTTCAAGACCTTTGATCACTTGGTCGGCCGGGTACGGACCACGGTCGCGGAGGGTCCGATATGCCTCTATGACAAACATGGCCTCGTTTGTGCCCTTTGTAAGACCATATTGTTTATTGAGTAAACACAAGTTGTTCAACGTCCCCAAGAAGAGGCAATATGTGTCCTCAAATCCACAGAACAACCTACGACAAATGAAACTCAAAAAGTTAAAAAATTAACAAACATAGTTTTGTCGATCGCTATGAGATTGTTTTCACCTTTGATGTTTGGAAAAAGGATTGTCGGGTCGAACATAGGCAAGAACAGCGGACTGGCCAAAACTCATGGAGAAAGTGTTGTGAGGGTGGTGAGAGAGGAACTCTTGGAGAGTCTCTTGTGGGAGTTTTGGCCTCTTTGAGCCATTGTAGGAGGCAGGGCTATTGAGTTCCTCTGGTGGGTGAGCAAAAGCTTCGTGGAAAATGGCCAACATTTTTTTTTTTTTTTTTTTTTGGATAGGTGGATGGATTGAATAGAGGTGAGTTTTGATATTTGTTGTTGTTTTTTTTTTTTTTTTTTTTTTTGGGGGTATTTCTTGAATATTCTAGGTGGGAATGAGAAGGGGAATGTGTTTTTTTTTTGGTTTTTATAGGGTCATTCTTTGGGAATTTAAAGTGGCATTGTGGTGATATCATTTTAACTTTGTGGGCGTGGATTTTTGTGTGATGGGATAAGATTCTCGAATTACGATGTATTCTTATCTTTCTCGTCAGTTTTTCCCTATTCCTTTTCCTTTTTCGTTATGGGGAAAAAGATTTTTTTAAATGCCACCCGAAGAAGTTGTCATCATTTATGAGTTGTTTATTAAGGAAGATAAGAAAAAAAAAAAGGAAAGAGGCAATTAGTTTTTTTTCCTCCTTTTTTTTTTATTGAAATCTTTTTAGAATTGACTTTTTAAAATTCGATGAGAAATCGATATTACCATCTTTGTTTAATATTGTTCTTTTTTGCTTAAATTATTTAAGTTAGATCTATTTTAATAAAAGGCAGTTATTAAAGAGGTCAATAATAATTTTTTTAACTATTAAAAAAATAATATAATTTTTTTTTTATAAAAGGAAGTTTTGAACTTTTTCTTTTTTATTTGAATAATTTCTTTTATTTTTTTAATAATTGTTTGGCTGAGTAAATTGCTGTGGTGTAAGTAAGAAAAGAAATTCAGTGAAAAAAAAGAAAAGAAAAGAAAAGTTAAAAGAAAAAAAGCTTTTATTTGGGCACCGATGTCTCTCGAATTATTTATGTTTTTATCACTTGGTTCCAAATAAATTTCATTGGAAGCCAAACCATTTTGAAAATCTTGGTAAAATTCAATCTTATGAAAAAATTAGACAGAATCCTCGGTGTCCTTCACTTAACATGCGCCACTTATCAAGGACAACGTTTGGAATTAACAAAAAGAAAAAAAAAAAGAAATATAACAATCAGAAAAACTAAACACAAAATAATAATTTTTTTTTTATAAAAAAAGATACATCTTTTCTTCTCCTTCATATTCTTTACTCCTATTCCGATCTTCCGAAACGATAAACCAAAACAAATAATAATATGATCCCAATATCGAAGCCAATCACCAAAGGCAGGGTAAGAATTGGGCGCACAATTCAGAAAACCATTGGACCCAATACATGTTCCGTGTTAACGAGTTAAGTTCGAGTTAATCCGTTTATTAAGTAAAATTATATTTACACTTTAAATTTAACAAATTTATTGATAAATTTATCTTTAAGAAAACTAAGTTTATTTACAAATTTTAAAGTTCATAAATTTGCATTTAATACAACATATAAACTTTTATACATCAAATATAATTTAGTTGGAAGTGATACATATAATTAATTGTGTTAATTATTTTTAAAAAAAAATTAATTGTGCCAGTTCGAAACGCTTTGCATTAGACATGTCAATGGTCTAAGAAAGGGGTACCACAATCGTTTAGGGCACAGGGCGTAGAGGGAAGGAACGACAATTTTTTGGTACATTGCAGCGCTGCGCATGTAAGGGACGACAATCGTTGAGAAACTAGGGTGTTACTCGTTTGAGCAATAAAGTCATGAAAACACATAAAAGAAGAGGTGTAGAGAAAAGGGTCATAGAGACGACAAGCTTAAGTTTCCAACTTAATGATATTGTTAAAATACCCCAACTTAATGATATTGTTATTACTTATCATTTTTTAATGATATGGTCAAACTTTATTTTGTCAGACATTTTTTGTTTGATCTTACGATTAAAATTGTATCTAAATTATATATGATTGAAAGGTTGAAAACTGTACCTTTATTTGGTTTATTTGGTAAAATCGATCAAACCGTTTCTCATTTTTCTTGCTGAATTTCTTTGACGGAAGATTAACTATTATGCTATGCTTGAAAGCAAAAAACTATAATTCATTCTGATCTTTCTTTTTTTTTTTTTTCCTTCCAAAAATAAAACCTTTCCAAAATAACGTATTTCTATTGGTAATTTATATTTCTAAACATTAGACCTGATAAATATTCCACCAAAACTTTGAAAAAGAACACGCACATTTGAACCCATTTTCTATAAAGAATGCAAAACGAGTTCTATACATATGATGATTTTTTTTTAATATCCTAACATTGGATTCTCTTTTTTTTTTTATCTCAATAAGAATTATTTATTTAGCTTTGAAAGAAGAAAAAGGAAAAGAAAATAAAAACAGAATGCCTTATTGAGAAAGGAAAATTAGCGAAAGATAAGATAAAAAAAAACTGTGTAGTATGATACAAAATGAGATTGTATTATAGAGATTCAAATCCTCAAACCTTGATTACATTTTGTTCAATTTATGTGCTATTTAATTTGTGATATAATATTAATAATAATGTGTAATAGCAAGAATCTTTTGAAAATAAGATACATTCAGTTTAAAAACTAATATAAATTAAATTTTTTTTAATATAACAAGATACAAAAAGAAATACTCTTAATGATGTATAAAACTTTTATTCTTTTTTTTTTTTATAGAATTTCATTGAATTTGTGTACTTATTTAATTGCTTTATAGAGTTTGATGATTAAAAACTGACAGGGATCCATCTACTGAAGAAAGGAAAATCAAGTTAAACTGGATAAACAATTTGTTACGTGGTTTGGTAAAGATTGGCTGCTGTGCTTATCCGAAACCCACAGGCCACAACCACAAGGTTTATGACAAAGACAACAGTCAGCTTTCCGCTTCAGACTGTATGCCTGTATTTATTTATTTATTTGGTTATTCTATGGGTAGAGCAGTAGGTATAGCATCTTATTTTATTTACTGACCCAGGCTTTTAATTTTTTTTTTTTAGTTAATCTAAAAAGTAGTCTCTCATATTTATCCACAATTGGTTATGATGTTTATCCCGTTCATTTCGCTGATTTGAGTTTAGAATTCGAGTTTTATTACAGTAAAAAGCTCTCAAAAACAGTCACATCTAACTTTTTTGTTACAGTAAAAAGTTCTCATATAAAATCACATCTCAACTCGAATTACAAACTCGAATCAGTAAAGTGAACGAGGTCTTTTTAAATTTCAGTGTTTCTGTTAATTAAATATTAAATATTTTATGAAATCCGTACAAATTAGAGGGTCAAAATTGAAAACAACTTAAAATTTAGGGAGTATTTTGTAGAAATTAATTTTTTTGAATTGTTTAGTCCTTAAACTTTAGATATTTTCAGTTTTGATCCTCAATTTTAATAATTCCATCCAATATTTAAAACTTAGCTAACTGAATGATCAAATTGAAACAAAGTAAAATTTCAGGACTAATTCTAAAATGTTTTAAAAGTCAAAGACTAAAGTGAGATTGTCCTTAATTTTTTAAACAAAAGAATAAAAAATTTTATGAGAAAACATACTCTAGTGAAGGGTTTGAATCGTTATTCAAATTGCAAATAAAACAAATTAATAATCACCGATTATTAATTGTCTTATAAACTTCTAAAAATAATAACTAGTATATAAAATAATAATAATAATAATAAAATTAAAAGTAGAACTATATTTTTTATTTTTTTGCATTAAATAGCCAAGTCGGCTAAACAAAAGGTCTAATACAAATGGGACATGCGGCATGAAGACACACTTCCAACCAGGAGTTTTAAAAAGCAAAAGCAACAATGTCCTTCATAGCATCACATTCTACTCTACTGATAGAAACTCCAACTTTCTCAGCTAACAGCAAGCCCTCTCTAATGGCGAAGCATTCAGCTACAAAACGAGAAAAAGTAGCATCCATTATCTTGGCTATACAAAGCATGGAAATTTGACGACCACTTGAGCCGAGTAAGCTTTCACGAAGATTCATAGCTATCTTATATCCCCGATCTGACCGAGTCCATTCCTTTGGTGTCATAGTGCCAAACAAGTTGACCATGGCAATAACCTTGACTCAACGGGATACCCAGATTAATGATCTCATGATCAATCGGCCAGAAAAAAAGCTTCAATAAAAGGTTCTATTCCATTGCCTGTTAAGGATAAGATCCTCAACCTTCAAATCCACGGCAAAATTAAGCCGCTTAGTAATAGGCAAGAGAGATCTTGGTCTAGGCAACCTTGGATCCCGGAAAATATTAATATCCTTTCCCGACCCAATACGCCAACGCACTCCAGCCTTAAAAAAGCTCACGGCCGGCCCTCCCCACAATAAACTATGCCAAGTATATGACGGGTTAGAGCTACGGGTGGCAATTTAGGTTATAACACGACTTGAAATTCATATAAAATTAATAAATTTGAGTTTTTATTATAAATAGATTTGGATTATAATTAAATTAACACGATTAATAAATTAATTGAGTTAGAATTGATCTTTTAATAAGTGACACGAATTGATATAATTAATTATATGAGAGCATTTGGTACGTAGTAATAAATGAAATTCATATTATCAGAAAACTAATAGAAGGTATTATGATTTTCAGAAAACATGCATTGCCACGTTTGGTTACGTGTAAGAATCTTTTCTCATATTCTTAAAAATATCATTTTATTGTGTTTGGTTGTGCACAATAATGTTGTGTGGTTTTTTTTTAAGGTAATGTAATATAACATATTGTAATGTGATTTCCTTATAAAACCAGTAGTTTTAAACATTTAAAAAACCAATTAAATTTTATAAGTTGGGTGATTATATATTTTTAACACCATATGTTTATTTTTTAAAAATATTACAAAAAAGTATTAAATTGTTAAAAAAAAACTCTTAACGATTTTTGTACAACAAATTAAATAGATAAATTTAATACATTAAATTACCAAGTAAAAAAGGAAAAGATCATTAACAAATTAAATAGATAAATTTAATACATTAAATTACCAAGTAAAAAAGGAAAAGATCATTAACAAATTAAATAGATAAATTTAATACATTAAATTACCAAGTAAAAAAGGAAAAGATCATTAACAAATTAAATAGATAAATTTAATACATTATTTTACCAAGTAAAAAAGGAAAAGAAAAAACACGTTGGTCTTTCTATCTCCCCCTCTCTCTGTCTCCTTCTCCTTCTATCGAACCAGATCTGCTTCGCAAGGTGGGGGAGGTGGGCTAGCGACGGCGTTGTGGAAGGAGCTGCGACGGAGGCGACTACGACACAGGTG